AACTGACAGAACAGAGAAAAGGTACAGTCCTTCATCACTGCCAGGAGCAGATTACCTACATCAGTGGATTTGAAAATGACTAGTTTTTTTGCTGACACGTATAGCAGTTCTTACAAACCGAGCCTTATCTTTGCAGTCACACCTTTCAAACAGATAATAGTTTAGATAACTGAGTCAAGCAGCAGTTGTTTCAACTAGTCGCTTATGTTTGCAATGGTTGCACACTCCATTAAAGGCTGTCCAGCATTGTTACCATGTATCTGTAGCCCATCTCAAAGTTGTGCTGGTATGAAATGGTAAAATGCTTTAACTGGGTAGAATCAACATTGAGCTAGGAATAAAAAGTGAAAGGCACACAATATAAACATTGTACATTAAAGTAGATGTTGGTCCCTGTAACTGATCCTCCTGCCCATACTGGCTGTGAATACACAGTAGTGACCATTACAATGACTAACATTGTTTCAAATGTAGATATGAGCCTGCCAGCTTTGCTTTACAGTAAGACCTAAGAAAGAAAAAAAAAAAAGAGCTTGTCTCTGGAGGGTGAACCATGTTGTATGAAAAAACATTTTTTCCCCCTTTGTTTTAGGTTTGGTTTGAAAACAAAACAACGCTTCTCCCCATAACTCATTTAGGAAGGGCTGTAGTTACACTGCCAAGTTTGGGAGAAACGTTGTTCAGGAAGACAAATGTGTGAATGTAATGTTCATTCAGTGGAGACTTATTGAAAACATGCCTCAGTCTCACTTTGTAAAAGCACAGTGTTCCGTACTATAAAGTTCAGGCAAGAAAAATAAATAAAATGCAGCTGACAGATTACCACATTCACATTTTATTTCCCATGTCTTCACTCTTAGCTTCATTTTTTTGTGTTACAATCAACTTAAAATGAGTTGCTATTCCCGCTTGGTCAAAAAAATAAAACCTAAAACAAAAGCAGCCCAGTGCTCATGGTACTATAACAACATAAACTGCTATGGACAAACAGATATAACAGCACACACAATTCTCATATGGTACCAACATTTTTTCATATACATCACACATCATATGTCCTTTACACACACACACACACACACTCCCAGAGCAATAAAAATGGTTTAGAGGGAAGACACAAGAGAAATGATTGCTGAGAGTGAAGGAGAGTGAGGGGATAATCAAATTGAAAGAAGAAACACACAGTAAGAGCATTAGCTCTTACTGAATAATGGAATAACTTAAAGCCCTTTGCACAGAAACACACACACACACACACACACACACACACACACACACACACACACACACACAATTGAAATGCCTCATATACATATAGGTTGCATCCCAGAATACTGAATAAATTACAAAATAAAAATGGAAAATAGCCATGCGCTAGCTGTACAAATTCAACAAAAACAGAGAAGATCCAACAAACTACTTTATACTCTTGATCAGAGCACCATCTGTTTTATGCACAAGACTCTCCCAAACAAATCCACAACATGTACACAAAGACAGGAGGAAAGGAAGAATTCCAGCATACTTGAAACATCACAGCAATGTTACCATCAGCTTTGGGCTGGGCTCTGAGAACATAAAAACTAATGAGGTGACTGAACTTGAGGTTTGTGAACTGTGACATGTTGTAAAGTAATGTTTGACGCCATTCGTGTCTGTCTCTGTTTTGCATGAACAGTGTTTATTCAAAGTGCAAAAGGGTTTGCTGCTCTGCAGTTCATGCATCTTGTTCACTATAGCTTTGGTTAACAGTACACAGTAATACTATTATTAAAAACAATGAAAACACCAGTAGTGCATGTGGATATATTACACTCCATTACCATATTTAGTTCTGTGCCTGACCAAGAAACTCAGACCAAACCTGTGTTAGTTAGTTTGTGGTGTGTGTTTATATCTGTTTTATAAGGGTTGTCTTTATAATGATGTGACATTCTACAGTGACTGATATAAATAGCTTCACTCTTAGATAATACAAGACAAACAGCACATGAATGGACTAGAATATGTGCAGTGTGCCTGAAGGTGGGGGGATTACAGAGGAGAGGGAGTGAGGTCATGTATAGTTAGATCTGAGTAGGTTTTTCTACATGAGACACCTGGGATGACTGATATTAACCTGCAGCTAAGATACAGTATAATACAGCTGGTTGGATCTCTAAGCTGGCCAGTGTGGGAGATCCAGTTTCC